TTTTTTTTTTGTTTTTTTTAATCTTTATTGAACAAGTCAGGATACAATTCTCAAGAAACAGAAAAGGCACTAATCCAATCACCGAACGCGCATGGCCAGTCTCTACGTAAGGCCCTCTAGCTAGCCCTAGTAGGCATACGAGAACAAGTCAGGATACAGGATACAGATCACGAGTGTCAGACTCGTGATCTGATTGGCTATTGAAACCTGACGGTGCCCGTTCATTTACAGCGCACAGGGGCCTGCTCTGTTTAATCTGAAGGCCCCGAGCAAGTTTAATTAACCTGGCAACACAAGCTAGATGAAATATGATTGGTTAAAAACTCTACCATAATAAATAAGTTATTTTTCGAGTGGCTTTCATTGAAAGCCACTCACCTAAGTGGAAATAATATGATGTAAAGAATACAGAGAATAATTTTGTTTACATATTTATGAAAATAAAATAACATAAATTATAAAATAACATAAAAGTAAATTTACTTTTCTGAGAATGTTTAGGCCAGCAGAGAAGGCCTTGCTTGCCCTGAGGGTCCGCCACTGAATGGAGGATTGGCTGACTTCAAAGTAAAGTGCATTACAGCAATCGAGCAGGGATGTGACGAAGGCATGAATTACTGTCTCAAGGTGCTCATGAGAAAGGAGAGGTTTTACTTCAGCCAGCTACCTAAGCTGAAATCCAGCTGAAAGAAGCTGGATTTAACAACGGCATCAATTTGCTGGCAAGTTTAAAATTACTGTCCAGTTTAAGACCCAAGTTTGAGAATGTTGACTTAAGATAAGGAGACAGGGGGCCCAAGTCTACAGGATGGGCTCCATTTCACCCACCTTTCTAATGAGGACAAATGGTCAAGAAAATAGATGGACAATTTACTAAATGGAATGTAAATGAAAATGTTCAATGACAGAATCATTGTGGAGGTAGTAAGTGATTAAAGCTGCCTCAAGGGGGCAATAGCAGCTCTAAAAATCTGAAGTGGTGGACTTGTGAGAGAAAAATATAAAAGTGAGGAATATGCCCACGCAGGGGCGTCACTAGGTTTCAAGAACAAGGGGGGTCAAGAATATGGCGTTAGACCAGCAGGGGGCAAAATCGCTGTATTTCTAAATTATCTACTGTACAGCATGTTACAATACTTCTGTGGCAACACTGTTCCTATCATGAGATGTAGAACTGTAGATTTTGTATCATATTACATGACAGAGCTCCATCAGGTTTCAATACAAATTGCTTTTTTTCATGAACACACAGACTCAAGATTCTCTGATAACCATCCAAGAGTTAACTCACAACATGTGCTCCGTTAAGTTTTTTTTTTTTTTTGTTGTTTCCAAGAAAGGCCTCCAGCTGCTTGACCTCACGTGTACACTCGAAAAGTAGTTTTACACCATTGGCAGAACTAGTATCTCTTCTGACATGGCACTGGCATGTAGACAGCAAACACCAGATACTGCTATCTTATATTGTTTGATGTGAAATTGTGTGAATGCGTTTTCTTGCAGTAGCAGTTTTTAAATCGATCACGGTTTTAAAGTTACTGTTGTTTATGGTTGTTCCCCTTCTTATCCGAATGTAATTACAATTATCCTCGACCACACATTTCATCTCAGCTGCTCTCTGATCCTTCTACGAAAAACTGGGATTGACCCTGCATTGTGCATGCATGTACACAGTTCTCCCGCCATAAGATGGAATGTAAAAAGCATTCAATGGGGGTGGGGTAACCTTATTGAAACACGATGGTTGGAACTCCAGCCCTTCTTACTGCGCTACCCCTCCTAGCCTTGAGGGCCACTTACACAACAATGACTCATGTCCTCTGCATGTTGAAATCATTTTCACACAGAAGCATGTGATGGTAACAGAAATGTCCATCCACATACCATGTACAGTCGATTGGCACAGTGGTCCAACTCTGGCATCAGTAAAACGGGCTCAACTATTATGACTCTCTAAAAGCTGACTGCTGGACAATAATTTAGAACACTAAATTAATTTTCATAACAATATGTGTACTCTTTCAGAACACAAGTTACCATTGGAATTTTTTGTGGAGCAAATATGATTTTTTTTTTTTTTATGTAGAGACTACACCCTGGACTGGTTGCTAATCTAAATGTAAAACTAAAAGTTGACAATTTAGTGTCTTAGTACATCATTTACCTGGTGTATCAATGCTACTTGCTAATTATGTTTCTACCTCATGTAAAGTCTGCCTATTTCCCACATCAATCCATCAAAGAATCCCAGACAAGTCAGTCAGGACAGTCATATTGTATCTCATCAGTATTCTCAAAATAGATTCGAACTTTTCATCCTTAGTTTAATATTGAAGGGTAACATGACTGTAAATACGAATGCTAACTGAAAGGGGAGAACTGACTGACTAGAGTCGCTAATTTTAGAACTTCGGACTTGCTCGCCAAACACTCATGACAGCAGACTCGTCACTTGACTCGGTATCCATAAGTGAACCAGCTGCATGTTAGCAGAGGGATTATTTTACATCACTATTTTAAATCCAAAGCATTGCTGTCAATGCATTTGATTTAAGATTTTTATTTGAAATTAAGTCCTCACAGCACATTGGCAGTGTTGTACTGCAATGTTAAATATAGACTCACAATCTTGGTATATAGGCTGTCTTAACTTCATCTTCTCGATCGCAGGATGGCCTGACCAACCTGTGGTGGGCGCCCCTCCGCAAATGGTGTCTCGTGATCCTGTGATGCAGAGGTACAAGTGTGTTGTAATATTGCGTCCCAGCTGAGGCAGGTTCCACCCTGCGCCGCTTGCCATTCGTGTGACAGTAAAGCAGTCTTACAGAGCAAACATCACACTAAGTAGTACTTTCAAAGAAACTTTTACCATTTCAGTCGCTGCACTACAAAAACGAGGCCGATGAAATATTGTCAAAAAGCCTTTATTGAAACTACAAAAACACTTCCTTAAAATGGCAGGAGCTTACATTCAGTTGATACCTTAAGCAATTCATACTGCATGGAACTTCAGACCTCTTTTCGTTCTTAGTTCAGAAGTACTTCAATGTTGGGTAACGCAACCTTCAGTTGCGGAGAACTTATTGCTCAGAAGAATCTGACAGCTGCTCTGCACTGACTTGCTCACATTAACACAAAAAGGAGTCGCTAATTTTAGAACTTCGGACTTGCTTCGCCAAACACTCACGACAGCAGACTCATCACTTGACTCGGTATCCATAAGAAGTGAACCAGCTGCATGTTAGCAGAGGGATTATTTTACATCACTATTTTAAATCCAAAGCATTGCTGTCAATGCATTTATGATTTAAGATTTTTATTTGAAATTAAGTCCTCACAGCACATTGGCAGTGTTGTACTGCAATGTTAAATATAGACTCACAATCTTGGTATATAGGCTGTCTTAACTTCATCTTCTCGATCGCAGGATGGCCTGACCAACCTGTGGTGGGCGCCCCTCCGCAAATGGTGTCTCGTGATCCTGTGATGCAGAGGTACAAGTGTGTTGTAATATTGCGTCCCAGCTGAGGCAGGTTCCACCCTGCGCTGCTTGCCATTCGTGTGACAGTAAAGCAGTCTTACAGAGCAAACATCACACTAAGTAGTACTTTCAAAGAAACTTTTACCATTTCAGTCGCTGCACTACAAAAACGAGGCCGATGAAATATTGTCAAAAAGCCTTTATTGAAACTACAAAAACACTTCCTTAAAATGGCAGGAGCTTACATTCAGTTGATACCTTAAGCAATTCATACTGCATGGAACTTCAGACCTCTTTTCGTTCTTAGTTCAGAAGTACTTCAATGTTGGGTAACGCAACCTTCAGTTGCGGAGAACTTATTGCTCAGAAGAATCTGACAGCTGCTCTGCACTGACTTGCTCACATTAACACAAAAACTCGAACATTGTGCTCACTTTCCCTTCTTTCACGTCCTGTCCTCACATAGACACAACAGCACAAACTGAAAGTGACAAATTGAGCATCTTAAAGCATTACTGTGGCTTGTGCATATTTCTAATAAAGCAAACTTGCATCTCATGAGACTGCAATCATGAATCCAATTATGTACTTCCAAAATTCGCGCTCGTTTCATATTGGCATACAACCGTTGCATTTAGTGCTACGGTCCCAAAATTAAACTGTAGAACAGAGACATTTAGTTGTTTATACTTTCACGTTTCTCGAGGAAAAAACAAACAAACAAAAACAAAATGAAGATTAAGTCGATAGGTTTACCAATACTGTATGTACATCTCATACCACATTTTCTTGGGTATGAAGCTTTTACACAAGTTTGCAGCTAAGCCTAAGAGGTGTTTTGTTTTCATTAGAGGTCATTAAACACTGGGAGGGCAGAAAAACATGCAGGTTTGTTTTAGCAGAAGAAAGTCACTCTTGAGGGTGAATGTGCTACACTTGGTTGAGCATATCAGTTTGGTGAAATTGTCATTTAGACAAAAGGCGGGAGGCGATTAACTATGCATTGAGAAAAAGAACCGCAACTGGGTAAAAGTACACCCACATTTTGTTGTTGGCAAAGCAGTTGTAGAGAAAAGGTGGGGACTGGACATTGAGTGCGATTAAGACTTTAAAGAAAACAGTAAATACTGAATTTCGAATATTTCCGGGGACATTTTCAAACAAAAAAACCTTGCTGCTAGCATTCCAGCCAAAGTAGCACATCAGAGGAATAATTGCAGAACCGGGACCGTTCTGCCTGTCTCTTCACAATGACTCACGACACGGCATGGAATTCCGCTTTCTGAATTATTGCCTGAAATCATCAACTACTTTTAACACAAAGGGATGCAGACAGTCAGTCGTGGGTGTTAAAACTTTACACTTCTGTCGTGGCTGGCAGCGTTTGGTGTCTGATACGTTTTACAAGGCGAGGAAAGTGCAGGAAAAGGCCAGAGGGAAAAAAATAGTTCAGATGCCATTGTGAAAGAGGTTTAAGTTCACCATATGTTCCAACTTGTTCTCACCTATGTGCAAACAGCAAAGACATTTAAACCACGCATCACGGCAAAGCCCCTTGTACTAAGTGCAAAAGCCATTTCAAGGCAGAGGAAAAGATGAAGACTGTTCAAGTGAGCCTGAGGCAGAAAAAGAAGCGGAAAACTTGATAGTTGAGTTTAAAAGCTGATGATTGACACAGGAGAAAAAAGCACAAGAAAGAAGTTGACCTCACAGGCGTTGATGGCGCACTGGTTCCAGCACACCATTCATTGTACAATAAGCCATTACAAAAATAAATATATACAAAATAACATCCTATTCTGGGACTATGTGCTGGGAATTTGAGATGACGTTATTCAAATGGAATTGTGATCCTCTCAACGTTCACAAATCTTACAGACTTCTCTGAAAATAAATACAGAGACGGTGTGATTCATTGTCAGCTTTCTGGCGTGCTGTGCGCACACCGACGGATGCTCGAGGAGAATCAGATGACTTTGTAGGACAGGTAGTCACGGAGCGGCATGGGAATGGCCAGCGACTCCACCTGCTGTGTGGTCATCACTCGTCTGAGAGCCATCCTGCACATGTGCTGCAGGCTGGCAGTGCTACGAGGACACTCCCAAAAGTGCACGCCGCCGTCACAGGTTCTACAAATAACATGGAATCGTTTGACGGTTGCAACCAAAAAGAAGATATTAAATGAAGACATCAACATTGTAACATGTCAAAAGCAGGCACGACTGCTCCTAAACGTCAACAACTTACCCAGCAGCAAGGACACTTCCTTCAGGAGAGAAGGCACAGCAAAGGCCATTGGGCAGAGAGGCGATGGCCTGGGGAGCTCTTTCTTCAATACTCCAGAAACGGACCAGTCTGAGTAAAGAGAGGGACGAAACCACTGTCAGGTTATCTAAACTATATCTGATGTTGCTCCAACACATGCACAGAGGAGGCCTTATTTCCGAGCGGAGTGCGAGTTGAGCTCAAAGTGCAGCTTCAATGTGCGCACTGGAGTTTTGTTTTTTCCGAGACTTTGCACACACTGAATTGGGCATAATGGGGGGTGGGGGGAGGGAGTTGCGCCATTGGGCATGGAAATAATCTTTTCCCGGCTAGTCCTCGCAACATCCTTCATTTTTGCATCAAAATCAGGGCGTCCCAAGCGGGGTACACCGAAGTGTGCCGTGTTTGCGGAAACAGAAATAGACTCGCTGGGGTCTGTGTATGAAATTGGCAGGCTTTTCCCTTGCGGATGATGTAGTCCGCCGTGCATGTGACATGGCAGAGACAGCCCTGCACCCCCGATCATGTGTCAGTGTGTGACACCTAAAAACAAATAAAAAATATGACTTTGGGATTACATTTTTTACCTCAAAAATAAAAACACCCATTGAAATACATTGGGTGGAAAAAAAAACCCCTCTTAAACATTCAATCGGAGTTCTCCACGAATATCTGGGGAAATGTGGGTGTGTGTGTGCTTGAAAAACAAAAATACATAAAGAAATAACGTAAAATACTGGAGGAAAAAATGCGACTATGCAATTCTGTGTGTGTCACACCATGTGGGGGTTTCACTGTACAGATTGATATAATGCTTGTTTGTTAAACAATACATGGCAAGTACACACACACACACACACACACACACACAAAAACGGACCATCAGTGATACAGTAACTTCAACGATCAATCTTTGTCCAGAGGAATCGACAATAACTTTTTACCACCAGAATATTCTTAACGTTTCTTGATAATGGGAGCTTATTCTTTTCATCATTAAGGAAATAAGTCTGCCATCATGCACTTTAGTTGTCTTTTATGTTCTTCTGAAATTTTGTTTTTGAGCTCACCAGTCCTCCCTTCTTTTTAGAAATGAAGTACTGTGCGGAGCTGCCTAAGAACACTGCACACTGTCACATGGCAAGCTTAGTTGCCACGTTTGTTGTTATATATTTATGGCCTAGAAGTGTTTGACTCACTCACACATTTCCATGAACTATGGCTTTACTACTTCTGCAGTGAAGGTTAATCATAGACTATGCCGGTGTCTGACTCCTGCCGTAGTAACGGAATGCCTCATAAATTGAGTACTCTCTATTGATCATTTCCTTCACTTGCATACATTTTATCGCGACCTCCGTAATCAAATAACTCAACTCAACTCTCAACTGCCTTCTCATTAAGGCCACTTCTATCCTGCCTGGAAGAAATCAAAACCTGGATGGCACAAAATTTCTTGACTTTCAATGAAAAGAAGACAGAGGTGATATTGTTTGGTCCCAGTGGCCCTTGTACATCCCATCCTGTCGACTTGGGCCTCCTGTCTCCTTAAGTCAACAGTCTCAAACTTGGGCCTTAAACTGGACAGTGATTTCAAACTTGACCGGCAAATTGGTGCCGTTGTTAAATCCAGCTTCTTTCACCTTAGACAGCTGGCCAAAGTAAAACCTCTCCTCTCTCATGAACACTTTGAGACAGTAATTCATGCCTTTGTCACATCCCGGCTCGATTACTGCAATGCCCTTTACTTTGGAGTCAGCCAGTCCTCCATTAAGCGTCTCCAGCTGGTCCAGAATGCCGCTGCTCGCCTCTTGACCGGTACTCGTAAGAGGGAGCACATAACTCC